CTTTAGATAAGGTTCCCAATGCCTGTAGCGGCAGTCTTTGAAAACGGTTTGTAAATATACTACTTGCTTATTTTCTGAAGCGAGAACATGCGTGATATGAACTTTGTACTAGTTGTAGTTTTCATATGCACGAGTTAGTGTAAGTTTGCCTGGGATAACGTTCCACAAGAAACTTTTGTAAATTCGTTCACAAGAGAGTCATGGACGAACATCAAGGCAAAAATAGCAGAACTTCCAACGCCTTGTTTAAGTATTTTGTATCGAGACACATAACAAAAAATTCACTAATTCGTAAATACTCACTGTTATTCTTTCCCTTTATGTTAAGCTGGATATCATAAAAAGGTTCCTCCTTGCTGCTCTCAAAATTGACATTAGTGCAGCGTATATAAGACTTCATGATCCCACGAAACAAATTCGGAATAGTATCCTCCACCCAAAAATAGATGTATAGCCGATGTAATACATTCTTGAACTTGAGATAAAAATTAACGTCCAACATACAGGGGAATTCTTCATCTTGCTTTCAAGATTATCAAGCAGTACTCTGCAGAGCTCTTGTACATCGTGCTGCATAAAGGTTTCCAATGAATCCCAACCAAACGACTTCGTTAATTTTTTGGTTCCTACTGGACGATCTGAGTACTAAAACATATAAAGTGTCAGAAGAAACAGATGACCTTTAAAACATGTTTTTTCAAGAAAAATTGCCTGTAAATCGTAGAAAACCCGCTGCATGGCCAAGGCAACATTACTTTCTGAATCTTCTTGTGAAGCTGGCATGTCGTACACTGCCTATAGCTCGTATGGCAATTAGAACAAGCATTGACTGTGTTTCACAGCTAAATGTCTTCCCCTAATTTTAAATGATTGCGTAGAATAATCCCTTTTTTGCAACTGCAAATAAGATTGTTGCTTGTGATTCTCCAGGGAGCTACATTCCTCAAACTCGAGATTTCATTTCCACTGGTGAGCACAGCCTCTTTGAAGAGAACTGCATGAGTCATGATCCTCTCCATAACCAGCAAAATCCCGGGGAGACATTTAGCTTTAAAACGATTGTAGCTGTAAAGACTATTATCGCACCTTACGCAATTTCGTAGTAAAATACAGTGTTTGTAGTATAGAATTCATATAACAGGTAGCTCCCTGATTTTTTAGTCCAATATGACCCGCATGTTTTTTGCTATCCCACCTAGGATGAAAATCAACTTGAACTTATGAACTGACATGAAAACTAATGAATATGTTATTGAGTCGAAATGCTTACTGTACACCGTGCGGAGCGTCTGCAGACACATGAACTAGCAAGCGAATAGTATCGTCTTTAATGAAACCATTTTCGGGATTAATCAAATGCTGAAAGAAAATTCCTGCTGGAAGAACAACACTACTTCAAAAAAGGCTTACATCACATGTTAAAAATTGTGAATATCCCCAGTCGTTTTCCTTTGGATAAAAGGTATGAGTTATCCGTCGTGTGTGATCTTCAAAACCTTCGAACTGCCCCAACACCTAAAAGTACTTACACTTCAAAAATGAGTAATGAGGTTATACTAACAAAGGAGACTTTAAGGAAAGTTGTAGAACAGTTATGCTGCACAATAAATTTTTCTTAAATTCCGATTAGTTATACCGCTGCTATTAAGCAAGGATTCATTTATCTTTCTATTCACATTCATATACAGTAAAAAAGGGACTTGGCAGTTACCTTCAATGATGCTGACGCTATGCAATTCCAAGCGACCGCGTCAGAGTCTGCATTGCACTGAAGAAAAAAACCGAGAGCTTTATTAGGTCTCGCACCAGTACCAACTCGTCCTACATCTCTAGAAGAGAACAGGGCATCAGAACAGCCGTTGGGAACTAGATTATAATACAACCTTGGAATTGCTAGGATTTTCCATGGAAGGCCTCGAACAAATACTGGTTTCGAGAGGCGTTGCTGTGTTTCGGATGATCCTTTACAGAAATGACTGAACCCATCAATGTCAAGGTATATTGTTCCCTCCGGCTTGTACAAATCATCAGGATCGTCCTCTTCTTCTGTTATATACTCGCTTTCACCATGAAGCATATCTTCAACTACAAGTAGAGGCCTTCACTCCAACAAAGGCTAT